CCCCCTGTCGCAAGAAATGCATTAAATATTTCACACATTATCTTCAAGTGAAACATAGCTCTTCTTTTCATAAAAAACTTTCACGAGTAAAAAATAAAAAGAGAGGTATATTGTCTTGCAATAGATCGTTAGCTCGTCAAACTTTGAGGAGGTGGAGGTATATTAGGTTTTCTCATACCTTATATAAAACTTTTCACGCGCAGAGCGTTTGCATCTATATTTTTTTTCTCTTCATAATAGTTGAAGTTTTTTTTTGTAGATCCTTTAGAACGAAAAATGCTGAGATAATTTTGTAGATCATTTAGAACAAAAATGCACATATTCTTCCTTTATCAAAGCCTACAAAAACGCATTAATTATAATTAATAATGTATAACTTCAAGTTTCTTATTTCAAAGATACATGTCACATAACTTGATAAGTTTTTACCGAATAAACATTTTCACAAAAAGCACTTTTTCTATTAAGGCCGGTATTCATGGTTGAATCTTATATTTAAGATTGTCTTATATTCATTTTACGATTGGTCGTCATGTAGCCAATGAAACATTTCGCTTAACTTTCAACGGTAAACAATACAACAAGTAACCAAGGTAAATTTCAAGGTAAATTTACGACAGTCTTACATATATAATCGGACTATGAATACCATCTTACTTGAATATATATTAAGAAACTACAGCCATCACATGTATAAATGTGACGTTCCTTTGTGCGTGTGAAAGATAGCGGACGTTCACAAGTTGCCGCGTTAATACTCACAAACTAGAGTTTTAGATCGAGATTCCGATAAGTATCAGCTTAAACAAAGTTTGTTTTTGTCAAAATGGCACACGATACACAACATCCGTCAAGCGAAAATTTCGGTTTTAACAAAGTATGTTCCCTAATGTGCGAGGATACTATTCCATTTCACATGTATAGATCTGTGAGCAGCGGCATCACTGTTTGTATTGTAGAATTAGACGATCCAATTATCACCGGTTATTTTAATATTGGTAATATATTGATATTATAATGTCACAACGCACACTTCAAACGTATTTTTGTTCACGTAAGATAGTTTCTTTCGAAAAGCGACATTTGCAAAATACGTTTGAAGCAATGCGTAGTATTTCTTATCAAATATAACGTCTTAAAAATATTTAAGTGTAGCTCTTAAGTATAACAATGTTTTTTATCAGTGACTGAAACATTAGATGACGACGGTGTTCCTTTTGCGCTGCAACATCTCATTTTATCGGGCAGCAAAGAACATCCAACCAAGACTAATTTAAATCTCTGGGCTACTAGACGCTTAGCAGACAACATCGTTGGTTATTGTTTAAAAGATCGTACTTATTTTACTATGAGCGCAGATGGTAGCGAAGCATTTCTTTCTCTAATGCCAAAATATCTTGATTACATATTTTATCCTAGTTTAGAGGTAATGTCTTTACTCAATTGTTTATATGTTTAAAACGAAAATGTGTGAAATATTGAGAGTATCAAATGATAAGTTTTTTATGGATGCTGTTTCCCAAACAAGTTGAAAAATCTATCATTATTTGAGATCTTCTCTAACCGCTAAATGTTAAACTGTCGATTTTTTACTGTTGACATATTAATAAATATTCTATTCTATTTTGAAAAATATTACCAGAGATTTTTTTTATTCGTTTTGACTTTTATAACGGCTTCTTTAATCTTACTAAATTTACATTTAATCTTATATTATGATTACTAAGTTAAAAAAACACATTGTTAGCATGCTGTGTTTTCAAATCATTCTGTTTTGTCCTTTAAAAACAACAACAGGTAACGTATTTAACATTTATCGAAAGAACATCGTTACACCGATACAACATTCGCGTAACAATTTAGCTCACATAATATAAATTTACCGCAGATTATTGTACTTTTACCTAATTTTAACAATAAATCTTATTCAATGTTATACCAACAATAAAAGGTATGGTACGAAATTCTGACGTGTTGTATCATACTGTATACAACAAATCACTTGTACTAAACTTTGTAAGAGATAGTAAACTATTTATTATTTATAAAATCTTTACTCTCAGAAGTACACAAAATAAATTTGTAAATAAAAATTTTTAATATTTCTCTACATTTTGGTAGGATTCAATATATCGTAGAAAGATACATCATTTTGACAACGATAAACATACCGGTGTATTGTATTGTAAACAACAGAAGAAAGAACAAACATCAAGCGAGATCATGACTAGGACAATGTTTAGAGCACTTTATCCTGAAAGTTGTGGATACAAATACGTAATAGGAGGTAAAAAGAATAACACGAAACAATTTCATAGTTTTTGTGTGTACATATTTCGAAGTGCTAGTGTACATAAGAAAATATTTATATTTGTAATTGCAGGTACAACTAAAAATTTGCGTGAAAGTACTACTCTTGAAAAAGTCAAACAATTTCATGAAAAATTCTACAGACCAGAAAATTTTACTGTATTGATAATGGGTAAGATAGAACACTGCAAAATTTTTCAGGCTTTACTGCCGTTAGAAAAGAAACTAAGTTTAAAAGTACGTACATATTGTTAAAGATTTTTTACGCCATATTCTTGTTTTTTCTTTGGAGCTTTGTGTGTTTAAAAAATTGGGGCATCAGTATAATATTCAGTTTTATATCTTACTTGCAGAAAAAAAATGATATATTTAAGAGACCTTGGCAAACTTCGATTAACCAGCTCACAGAGAACGTAATTGTGGACGTCGAATTACCATGTAGTGAAAAAACCAATGCCGAGGTGTATGTTGCTTGGCGAGGACCGTCAGTGGTTACCCAAATGTACGAATATCACGGTTGTAAATTACTCGTAAAATACATCGTGCTTTTATTCAATGCAAAACAATTATGGATGGAGAGATCAATGCCTGAATTGTATAATGAAAACATTTTGCCTGTTAATATAAAGTACGATTTTTTCATACATTCAGTTTCGATCTTGCGTGTGCGTTTTTCGAATGTATTAGGAAGAATTGATCTGATCAAACAATCTCTTGACAACGAAATTAGCAAATTATGTACAACTAGTATAGATATGAAGATAATAAGAAAGTTAATTCGAAACATTATTCTTGAACGACAATGTAAACTAAAAAGCAATCCGCACGCTATAATACAACAGTCAGTCTTTGATCATATAGTGTATGGGAATACAAATGATGATGTATGTGAAAAATTTAGTCATTTTAGTCAATGAATTTTATTTTTTTCATAATTTAATTATATTTTAATTCGGTATATATCATGTTTTTTGGATGTTCCCAGCTAAATGAACGATTAAACACTATACGTCAACTGAAGAAATTACAAACCGAATCTAAAACGTATTTTGTAAACTTGGCTAAGACTTATTTTCGCGACGCACCAACGGTTGTTGTAAAAGGCAAACCAAGTTCAGACGAGTATCGTATGGTGAAAAACGAAAAAATCTATATAAATAAACACATCGCAAAGGTAAGATGAAAAAGTTAAAACCAGAAAAAAAGTTACATTGTGCAATCTATTAAATATATTAGAGTATATATTTGAATCTTATAAGATTAGATTATATGTATAGTAGTAAGCTATATTAGATTATACATACAATTATACATACGATAATACATACATGTTTTTAAACGTAGGTGAAACAGCTCTATTAGTAGGTTGTACATACATTCTTTAATATACGTCAGCATGTTTTTCTTTTTTTTTTTTTCACGATTTTTTAAGGAATCTATACCTACCAAAATACTGACGAGTGTGCCTATACCTGGCATAGATTCTATCACATTTTATCAAATTGAGAATTATACCACGGAAACGGTCGAACAACATCCGAAA